TTTTGTCAAGGCAGCCACTGGGAACACAGGGAAGAACAAAGTAAGTGGAAAAGCTGCTTTGGTGCCTGCTACATCCTGTTCAAGTCCCCCACTCCCGCAGGCAGAGACCACAGCACCTCACACAGTTCATTCTCCTGCACGGCACTTCCCTTCCTGCCCGCTGAATCACAGCCTTGTGCCCTACTCTCTGTAAAACCCGCTCTCACTTTGTATTTTTTAGGTTGGTTATCAAGCTGGGAGTAATGGACAGCCACTGCCCTCTCAGTACATGAATGACCTGGACAGTGCCTTAGTGCCAGTGATTCATGGAGGGGCATGTCAGTTGAGTGAGGGGCCAGTCATAATGGAGCTCATCTTTTATATTCTGGAAAACATCTCATAAGAGGACTTCATTTTCCGTTCAGACCTGTTCCAGCAGCAGTTGTATCTGAATCATTTGCACTTTAAAACTGGAAAATTAAGCTTTTGTTAACACTATTGGGGGGGAGGGGGGAGGGACAGTTGTTCCATAATTCTAAATCTTCTATGCATTGTCAACAAACAGAGGATCAGGGCAGCTTCTATACTACAACATGGCTATGCTATCCTTGCAGCTAATACCCTTCTGTTACTGTTTAGAAAAACGCTCATGTTTAAAGACTTACAGTCATGTACTCTAAATGCTCAAACGGGTGCAAAGATCACTGAGGCGTAAATAAAAAGTGAAACTCCAATCTCGTACTGTTTGTAGATGGACACGTAAGAAACAACAGTCAAGACCTCCATTCTGACCTCATCATAACGCCGTTTGTGGTTATTCTTTAGACATTAAAAAGTAACGTTTACATTGTTTTGACCGGATTATTGGTTGAAATACGCTTGGAGTAGCCCTTGAGATATATGGGAGGATTCCCCAGCCATAACTCCGTTTGTATATGCGTCCAAACGAGCAGCAGAAGGGCAGGCATCTCTCTGACAGCGGTATTACGTAAACTGCAGTTTTGTGTGTGTAATAGGCTAGTTTACTTTTTCCTCTATTTACTATAAAAATCCATCACCTCTGCAGATTTCTACAATCTCCTAGAACAACTCTGCTATTCCGTACTTTGTTTACAAATCTGTATGAAGCAGAGGAAACGTTAGCCCTAAAGTGCAGTTATATCTATCTCATTCCTCCTCCCCAGTAGGTCCTGCTTTTTAAAGAAAAAGTAACACCCAGGGCAGCTTTAGGTCTCCTCCTTGCCGTATGCTGTAGTGTAACGCTAGTGTCATGTAATCCAAGACGGCTCGTGCTCGTATTAGCAGCACCGTGTAAAAGCTTACCTGTGATAAAAGTACAGAGTGGCTGTTTTCGCATGTTCTGCTGGAAAAGGCTTTCTGGTCAGCTCTGAACACTTGCACTTGGCCCAGTGCTCTTGCTCTCACCAGAGAGGGCATTAGTAAGGAAAGCAGCTGCTCACATCTACCACGACATTGTGAGGCTGGAACGGAGAATCAGCCAGAGGAAACGTGGTTCCACATTATTACTGTCTCCATGGGAAGCTGCTAACCAGTGGAAAGAGCTGAAAGCAGGAGGAGTTTGGTTTGTTTAGCCATAGCCATGCAAAGCAGCTGTTTGAGTCCCTTCCGGGAACGGGGGGTGAAAGTTTCACCTCCTGTCTACACAGAAAATTAATTTGGGAAGAGAGAGGCTAATTTACGGTGAACACAGCATCTCAGACCTTGCATCGTCCCTACTCCGCAGTCCGTTCCAATGGATGCAGCGGGGATTATTTTGTCTTTGCTGTCTCTAACACAGGCATCCTTTCAAACACAAAGGGAAGCGCAAGGCTACTGTGAGGCTGATGCTGTATTATTTAAACAAACATACGGCATTAGCTGGGCAAAGGAAAGGCGACTGCAGGTGTAGCGATGTATTTTATGTAGAGACAGCACAGCGTATGCACAGAGTGCATTTGTGAATAAACGGCTACTGCTTTTTTTTTTAAAAAAACAAAGTCTGACAAATCCAGTATTGCAAATTACAGCTGTCGCCACCCACTGCCTGGAGAAGGCAGGCCAGAGAAGGGGGGGCCAACTCCACAAGTAGAAGCTGGCCAGCAAGAGGTAGCACACTCCTGCACTTAGAAGTGTCCCAGCAAAGTGAAGCCTTACCTCTGGCATTGGGAGAAGGTGGCTGGCTGAACGCGCTTACTTCCTGTTTCAGGGTGGACAAACCTTAAGCTGTTACACAATCAGTAGCCTTCTCCTACGTGTCTGTGCAGCGGAGCAGGACTAAGGCCACTTTCAGACTCCCCTCTGCACGCTGTTTTTGCACACTTTGGGACACGGTGCAGCACTGCCTGGTGTCGGCAAGGTTCAGCATCTGGAAGATCGTTCCATAAACTAAGTAAAAATCTTCTTTCTAGAGCCTGCACTCCAGCTTTGCCACAGCAGCGGCTTTCCAGTTACCTTAGTTGCATTGTTATGCTTAATAATGCAGTAAAAGAGGTGAAAAATCTCTTCCTTGGCCCCAAAAGTCTTTTAGGTTTGGATTATGTTTGTGAAGAACACTATCAACTGGTGACTGACATGTTTGCTTCAATCATAGCCTTTTAAATGACCTTAATTACCATGTTGTTAAGAAATGAGTACTTGTTTTAGAAAAAAAAATTGTACTTTTAAAATTCAGTTAGTTAACACTGCAAAAAACTGCATATTATATTTTTATTTTCAACATGTAGTTTTGTATATTAAATTTATTGAAATTAAAAACTAAACACTGTATTGTCTTCATCTGCTCAGGAAGACAGAGGCAGCGCTGCCTGACTTGTCTGGACTCTCTGTCTACAAACTTGCCCACCCAAAGAGCTGGTGCAGGTGCGCTCCGACTCCCCAGCGCAGGCACGTCCTCTCCGTCGAGATCACTCGTTCCTGTTAGCTCGCAGAGATTTAAAAACACAAACGTATTTGGTACCACTTTTTGTACGCTGCTAATCAAAAGCATTCCTGAAAATAGTCGTCATCCGCTTCTCTACATGACAAAGAGTGGCTATTTTCCCCATCACCTGGAAGAACTGTAAACGCCTATTTTTGTAAAAATACAAGGAACGTTTGGGAAGCAGCAGTCTAGTGTACTTCTTTTTCTTCTTTTTTAAATTAAAAAAAAAAAAAAGGATGAAGGCACAGTAGCCAGGCTGCCCTGAACAAGCAGTGCGGCAAGCAAGGCAGGCAATTGGTAGCCAGAACAAAAACGCAGCTCTGTAAACACCTGCTGTAGGAAGTCTCGCATTCTTTTCTTCTGAAAGGCAACTTCCCTTTGAGCTTCACGTTGCAACGGCACGCACAGAGGAGGGACGCCCCCTGCTAGACTGCTGCCCGAGTTCTCTCTCCTCTCTTTTAGGAAACAAGAAAAAAGCCCCAGACAGGCCGTGACAAGAGCGAACAGAAAAAGCGGTAGCGGACTGGTCACTGGACCATGTTGCTGCTTATACACTTGAGAAACAAATTCTAGTAAAGGTTTTACCTGTGACTTGACTGAAAGGTTTTTGCACTGCCTCAGGGAATTTCTAAGGGGCTAAACTTTCCACACACCACTGTGCATAGTTATGTAACATTCATCCTGGCGCTACATTAGTAGTCCCACATTAAGGCAATTCTGTCTATTTTGTGTAGACTAGTGACAACCCCCTGCAGCAGTGAATCTCCTGAGCCTCACATCTGCCTTGAAGTTATTAATAAGCACTATGGCTGTTATCAAAATAGACATCAGGTTCAGTAGTGCATTCATTTAACATCTTTGGTGCTTGCAGCTAGCAGCATCTTTCTACACGCGTTCTTCCCACATCTTTAAACATTCCAATGGATCTAGGGAAAAAAAAAACACAACACAAAAACCAACAGAATTACTTGATGCAGTACTTAACAGATGTTCACAATTCAAGGTCACATTGTATGTAAAATGCTGACATGAACTTCCTGGATGGTCAACTAGAAAAATCAATGCAGCAAAATTATGAAGTTGTAATGACTGAAAATGCTTTAGTGTCCAGTCACTGCGTGAGGCCAAGTTGCCAATTCAGATACGGCCATCAAACGTGTCCCTCACAGCCAAACTGTGAAGCTCATGACCGACCTCCTTGGCTGTGAGGAAGAGATGACCAGACAAACAGTCCCTTAGGTGCTACAGATTCAGACTCACGTCCTGAAACAAGACCTCTCCATCTGTAAAATCTAACCCAATTTGGAAGCAAAGGTGTGGCAAACAGGTGATGTCACTGTGAGGCTTAACTGCCATTGATAAAAGCAAAGCAAAACAATATGCTGAGGACGAGGGAGAAGAGAGACTTCAGGAACTCAAGGAAGAGCGATTACTTATTAGAAACTTTGTATTTACGCATCATCTGTTTTCCCTGAGAGAAGGTGAGCTTTGTTCCATGCTCGTACAGCGAGGTCATGGTGCAAGAGGAGGGCTCTACCTGCCATCACAGTGCCACGAACACCTGCTCAGAAGGGACAACCAGTCCCCCCCTGCCAGTAGTGCCCTGTGACCGCAGGCAGGTGCTCTGCAGGGAGAACTGACCCTACCGAGGCAGTGTCCTCTCCGTGCTTGAACGAACATAAGCTGTGGGAGAAGCGAGGACCTAAGTTTCAGGACATCAAGTGGTCGTGTCCATCTAATCCGAATTTCTTCCAAACACCAGATGTGCTTTTAAACCAACAGATTGTCTGAAATATTCTGTCTACAAAAACGCAGGAAATGGAAGTCACATAGGTTGCTGTATCAACTCCTCTAAAGACAAAGCAACGCATACAGTAGCCCATGAAATAGCAATTCTGCCATACGTCTCCAGTTTGCATTCTAAGTCTAAGAGAAATAAGAATGTGGCACCCTGTGATTAAAAGTGATTAAAAAACATTCACAAAAGTAGGCTGAAATACAGATTTCACAGGGAGATGGACTTTCTTATCATTCACAAACTTTATGTAGAAAATTACTCTTAAAAAAACACCGGAATTTTTGTTGGTTTGGTTTGTTTTAATTTTTAACAAGGGAGAATTTGTGATACCTAAAAAGCAGAGCATGAGACAGACAGACAAGCTCCAAAGCCAAGCAGAGGCTAGCAAGAAGAGGAAGGCTACCTCTTTTTCATCCTTCTAACATGCAACCTCTTCGGCAGCACACAGCTCCTCTTCTGTACTTGGTTAGAGTACAGTGGGCACCAGGCACATTTCTGTGGGTACCCTGTATTCAACTGTACAGTTCCTCCCTGCCCAGAAGTCTCAAGTATCCATAAGAAAGCCCGTTTCTGATAGTTTCCTTTCCAGATGAAGTCACACAGAATTTCATGGGACAAACAAATGCCCTCCTCTAGCTTCTGGTAGGTCCTTGCTATCTGAAAGGTTTTTTGCTCGCAATAAGGATGGACAGAAAGCACCCTCCCTCCTAGAAATGACTTGTCAATCTTATTTTCTAAATATTATTCTAAATAAAGGTGATGCTAGAAACTCTCCCTGTATTTCACGTGATTGTGAAATAGCATCTTTGATATACAAACCGATCAGAGATTCTGTAACCTCATTTCTGGAATTATGTCAACTCACCACTACAAATTTAAAGATGGATGGTATCAAAGCCAGAGCTATCTAAATTAGGTCAATGTCAACAAAAGACATTATTCAAGCAGAGTTTATCTGTAGCCCTGCCAAGTACTGGCCAGACCATCTTTAGATGCAGTATTCGTACCTCAGGTAGAACTAATGTTCAAGGACCAGCCAATTTTCTGTAATTGTCTGAAGATCTTGACCACTGAGGGGCTCCCTGAGTCTCACTTTTACCTCCAGTTTCCCTCCAGTGGGCTTTCTGCCATCAAAAATCTGAAAGAGCCACAAAAAGAAGCGCGGTTAGCACACACACAAATGGTAACGGCAAACTGCAGTGCCTCAGGCAACCCCTAACTTTATTTCCCCATGGCTGAAAGATGACAGATACACCTGCGGGTGACTGCCATGCTGGGAGGCGTCGCAGCCGTATGCTTCCCTGGATTCGTGATTCAGCAGAGCCGGTCCCCCCACGACCCACGCAGGGCACCGTACCAAGGGCTGCACTACCTCTGCCTGCTGCACACCAGGCCCCCGCAGTGCAAACGGACTCCACGGGCAGCTCAGAGGACGACGCGACAGGCAGCGGTGTCCTGAGCAACTCTGCGATGCAGCCCAAGGGATTGTTTTTTTTTAAGGTTCCACTTAAGGATCTCCTACTGGATCTTACAGCAGCTCTCTATCCACTCTGGCAGTCTTTGCTTAACCCTTTGATCTGTTAGCAACTAACGCAAATATTTTTGGGAATCACCTGAATTTTTGGTCCCAACCAAGAAAACTATCTTGATACAAAAAAATTGCAGAAATAAGTTCCAAAAAAGTTGCCAGTACTGGCACGGTCACAGGTAAGACAAACTTCAAGGGATGATAAAACAAAGAACAGCCCGTTGTTTGTCAAACTCACCCAATACAAAACCAAAACTGTCAACTGTAGAAACACACACTTATGTTATGGAAATATTCATTTTCTCTTTGTGTTCAAATACTAACACCTCACCCAGAAAACATACCTCGATGATCTCTCTAACTTCACATTCTGATTCCAGTTTGTCCAGTTTCAAGTGTGCTGTCCCCACTTGCTTGTCACTTCTGAAAAAGGACCTGTTTCAAAGAAATCTTCCTCAGTGAAACGGTAAGGTTTTTCAGAACATTAAAGAGAAAGCAAACTAAGAGGTCATCGCTATTTGTGCCACCACCGCATTCAGGAGGGCTTGTCAAGACATGCTACTAGAACCCTACCAAGCAGGCTGGAAGGGGCAAACCCTTCATGAACCAGACTACAAGGACAAGATACAGAAGTACTCGCTTTTTAATTATTCTCTTGCAACCAAATTAAAGATGAGGACAGTGGTGAAGAAAAACAACCAACTAAACTAGCACTTGGAATGGCAGCAGCTTTTGTCCCTGCACAAGGTGCCAGGGAAGAACGGCCTAAAAGCCAGGACAGACAGCAAAACCTCTGCAACAGGCTGAAAAACTTCCCCAGGAAGTTGCATTTCTCACCAAAACAAACATTTCACAGGCACATGCTGGATTTGACAAACTACTTATGAAGAAAAAGTCCTGTGCATCATTCTGTTTGATTTTGATAAATCAAAACACTCAGTTTCAACAAGAAACATTTCATTTCAGCTATTGTTTTGATTCACCTTCATACTGTTAGTTTTAATGTTCAAGAACTATAATTTTAGAATTTCTTATCTGCTGAAATTAAACACAGAACATTTTTATCTTGCAAGGTAAACAATCAACTTTTCTCTGCTACAGTCACTTCTGTTTAACAGTTTTATCAGCAAGAGATCCATCTTTACCTTAACAGAGACAGGTGGTGCAATCCTTATCCAAACTCCTCCAAAAGGCAACAGCTAAGGCTAAACCACACTAATTCCATGGAAGCAATCAGCTCGAAGCACTGGATTTCTTTGCCTACATCCAAGCATTTCCCTGAATCAGTCTCCAAAAGGTTTGAGAGACAACTAAAATCTAGAAAGTCTGGAGGCTGAAAACCAACCAGCCATGCCTGTCATGTTCTAGACAGGAAATCCACCAGGAATTCTGAACTTAGGAAAAGTTTAGGAAAAAAAAACAAGCAGGCAAACAAAAAAAAAAACCCACAACCCCAGAACACCCACCCTTCTTCCTATTATCACTAAGAGATATTAAAATATTGTCAAGCAAGACTTGAAACGTGCAATGACAACTCTGAAGATAATTATATGGAGCCTCACGATCATGTCATCTGTCCCAAGAGTAACCAGTATATTAATACACAGACCTGACGCTGCATCAGTGCCTACTGTCTCCAAATGAACATCTGTGAACTCGACTGTCTACATCTCTGATTGGAAAAGGACTAAGGTTGGTTCCTTCACATCGTCTGCCTCAATGATGGCTTCATTCATACATTCTCCAAATGGCTCATGTCAACCTCAGTGTAAGAAATCTGTCACCCAAACTGTAACCTCTTTCTGCCTTGAGTGGTCAGAAATACCATCAGGGATGCCATGGCTCATGAGCATCTAGAGCCTCTGTAGATGAGGAGGACAATGGTCTGGTACTGTCAGCCCAGGCTGCAGTGAGCTCATGGTAGGGAGCTCAGACACTTGTAGATGAGACAGAGTGCCAGAGCACTGCTCTGAATGCACTGGAGCATGCAGCGGGTCATTGTTAGGAAGCACATCTGTTCCAAATACCTGTTGCTGAAGGACTTGAAAGACTCCAGCTCAGTTGTCTAAACTGTTTATTTGTCCATCTCAACACAAACTGCTGTAGTAAAGAGCATCACAAGTACCTGAAGGGCTGACAGCGCTGCCTCTAAACATGAGGCCTATGAGCTTTGTTGATAGAAAGCCTTCCAAAGTGAGACCGTGTTGTCCATCAATGAGACTACAGCAGACTCACAAAATCATTTAGAAAAGTTCAGGATTTATTCGCTTACATGCCAGAATACTTCCTTTGCTTCGCAAGCACCTTAGAATGAACGATTACATAATTGTACTGCAGCATGTTGGATGCTTTGTTTATAAACTTAAAAAAGAGAATCAGTAATTCTTCCAGCTGAATTTTTTAAAGCATTTTTCCATTTTATAATTCAAGAAACGATAAAGACTAGTTCATCCCCGATCAGTTCTCGGGGGTGCACAGTGAAGGATGTGAACTTGCTCTAGGCCATGGCTTCAGAAACAGCTCTGGGGAAATCTCCTTTTATCTTCAGAAGCTTTTAGGAGAGGTTTAAGGAGAGACTTTTCCTTTGGAAAAATACATTGCTAGGTTTTTACTTGAAAGTGGTTTTTAGACTGAAGTTTAACATATATGACCTGAAACAAGTCTCCTTTGCTCACTGAGTGAAAATAATTCTTGAGAGATGGTCAAAGAGCTGTCAGAGACCCCAAAACTACAACATCTACAAGCATTTCTGAAACTATTCATTTATAGTCTTGAAGAAAGACAGGGAGCAGACAGTCTTTAGAAAATAGCCTGGATCACTTAATCCTCTCCTTTCTTCTGAGATGTCCAGGAGGAAGGTGATCAGCAGACATTTCTTTTTTTTTCCCCTTCCCTGTTGCTATTTGTCCAGGGAAATTGCTCCCCTTCACCCAATCCAGAAACAAGCATATATTTAACTTGTTAGATTCCTGTTCTAAGAACAAAAAAAAATCTCAGAACCAGAAAAAAGAAAATCCGCACAGATTTTTTTCACTAATCTTCGAAAAGGCTTCAAAGGCAACTCTGGAGCCAGCATCTAACTCATGACTCACTGAAGGGTGTTTTGCAATGGGTGAACTTAAGCCCGAGCTCAAACCTTAAAAACAAGCACAGTTCCAGCTGGTAAGAGAAGAGAATATGCCCCATATGCGAAACAGTTTGCAAAAGATGGGGAAAAAGGTTTTAAATGAATGTAAACACTTAAACGGTTCTGTACAAAACAGGCAGGATCTCTAACGGTGAAGTCTTGAACAACAGAGCAGTCAGAATTGATAAAGAAAGAGGAAGAAAATCAGCTTTTGTTGAAATGGATGTAAATGGAAGATCTGGAGTAAAAACAATGGGACTTTACCTCACAGATTAAAAGACCTGCGATTTGAAAGTCATCTCAGAGAGCCTATGGATCATTTCTCCATGTCCCAGTAACAGAAACAAAGAATAGCATAAAAAGCCATCAAGACAAAAAACAGGTTATCTAACATCTCATCCAAGTCATGGATCACAACCAACTGGGGCATTAATGAATACAGGCCACTCTAATTTTGAGTAAATCAGTAATGAGCCTAGACGTAGGATGATTTCCTTGAACATTATCAACTGTTAACGTCCATCTCATCATCTTGATCTCTGAGATGAGGGAAGTCTCTTTCTCTCAAGATAGTCTAACAGTTTGCCAGCACTGTTTGGTAAATATTGTAAGAACCTCAGAACAAAGGCAAGTACAAAAACGTAACACTAGTTCTGCCATCATCTGTCATCCGCTTTACTGCTCTTAATATTTTGCTGCCACTTGTACTTCATTATTCTACAAAGTTATCCCATATAACATTTAAATCTTCTAGTCCTGATGACTAAAACCAGACTGGATAAGAACCAAAACAATTTGAAGCTGAATCATTACCTTCTCAGTCTCATAAATTCCTCTTAACGCACTAATCCTCAACTGATCTGCCAGTTATGAACCAACTTCACTGAACTTCTGCCTTTTTTTCACCCCCCCAGGGGAAGATACTGAGCTCAGGCACATTTTGAAAGGAGTCCTCAGACATGAGAACTAGACAACTCTATTGCAAGCTTAGTGACTGAGCTTCATAAATTTCAGCTACTCTTTTCAACTGTGGAAAGTTGAAGCAGTAAAAGAAAAAAAAAAAGAGAAGCAGCAAGGGAGGAGCAAACTGCACACTTACCCTTTATGAAATACTTCGAATTTAATTCCTTTGGACCGAATCGCTCGTCGAAAACCTCTGTGATTTCGGTTGATGTTCAACTTAAACAACTGGTTATATTCTACAGTGAAGATATAAAAAAATGAAAGCAAGCTGTGAAAGTCGAACTACGTGCAATGCTCTATTGCACGCACGTACTCAGTCATCTATTCAGACGTCTGATAATCTCTGCTTGGCCCATTTGTGAAAGATGCTTCACATCTGTGTGAACCTCTTTCTCAGGTTATTTTAGTTGTTAACAAGTTGGTGTCCCTGTGCAGCAGGTAATCTCTGTCATCCCCACTTTACAGGGACAGAAACCCACTGCAAAAAAAACAAGTCATCATGCAGAGGTGACAGTAAGTTACTGGAGAGCCCAAACTGGAGTATCTAGGTCTTTCAGCAAGCTGTGTCTGTGGCTAAGAGGCACAAAATAATAAGGAAAAAACAAAGGAAGGTTGGAATGACGGGGAAGAGGTGTTTTGGTAACGTAACTAATACTTTTTTAACACTAGTTTCATTAATGAGCGTGACAAGAACCACGCCAAGGGACACCATTTTATCAGAAAATCTCAGGGCATTGTACAACTCATGTTCAAAGACTTATCTGCTGTGCTACCCAGGAACGCTCGGCTCTGCTTGTCAGCCTGGGAACTCAAAACACTGAAGCTAAGTGTCTGCTCAGCTGTTTTGATACTAGATGGCTGCTTACTGCAAGAATTGAAAAAAATAATATAGCAATAAACCCAACTCAGAGTACAAGATGATTAATTTTAAACGCATAATGAGTCTAATACTGGTATTCAATGGCTAGATACAAAGGGGTATTTTTCAAAAGGTACAAAGAAAGTATTTTAGTTAGTTTTAAGACGCATTTTCTTAAAAAAAAAAAAAATCTATTTCTGTAATGATGCTTTGTCAGAAGTGTTAGCTGATTAGCAAAAATCACGACAGAATTAGCCATCTCACAGGACAAAATTCTGACTGAAAAAGACCTGATCCATGGAGATACTGAAATTAATAATTTAACATATATAATAAAGCTTATTTATCTGGCCCACCAACCAGCAGGGTTGACATCAATGGCTGAAGCATGACTAGTAACTTGATGATTTCCCTAATTCACAACACAATTACTATCACCAATATTGGGATAGGGATGAAGAAACTGCCAACACAGCAGGACTTCACCTTCCAACAAGCCCTTTCATAATAAAAATGATGGTGGGAGGCCCTCTGGCCTGGTTCACAGTATGAGACTAGCCTGCACTCTTCAGTGATTCCTAAGGTGCAATGTTATTCCCTCTGTCCCATAAAAAGTACTGACCTGGAGAATTGTTATTGTTAATTACGGGTGTTTTACTCTTTTGAGGTTGCTCCTATTAAGAGAGACACACATTACAAAAAATCATCAGATATTGTTTCAAAATACAGAGTAGTAACCATTTTTATTACCAGCTCTTTTTTATACCTCTACAAGAAACACGCCGTTTAGGGGGTTATCTGAATAATAAGAGTCGTGGTACATTCAAGACTAAATATTCGTATTTCATTGTGGTAACGAGTATAACACCAGATAACGAATAAGTCAAAACCTTACATTAAACAGACGAGCCACAGATAAGCTACACGGGGACACTCAACTCAATCCAATCATCATAAAGTTACTGACTGCAGCTGTTAAACTACGTGATGAACTGTGCGCGTTCCACGACACAGTAATTCTGTTCCTTCTGCAGTAGCCGGAATAATAAGCTGCACAAGGAATTCATCACAAATCATTCAGGGAATTGCCCTACTATTATTTTGCCTGACAATCAATCTGCCACCAAAATGAATTAACTTTTAACCTAAAGCAGAGTACAAGCTAAATCTCCGGGGACTGAACAAGGACAACGTGACCTAATTATTGCAGCTACTTTGCAAAACTGATTTCAGCTATGAAGGAGAAAGGTGGTGTGTTTGACTGTTGGCTAAGCAGTAGAGATCTGTCTTTTTTTAAAACAAATAAAAATAGATTAAAAGCAACTATGCCAATTCTTACTTATTCCGCAGAAAATTATTCATACAGACCACTTCTGCTTTCAGCTGCCCTTACGGAGGACACTCCTCCATTAAAGTCTCACATAACTCAAACCCAAACACAAACCTGATCTGACCATCACCAATTTCCCACAGGTAACTGAGTTCATTTTAGTGGAATTGCCGCAAAATTTATTAGGAGGTAAAAATCTATGCTCTGCACTCACACAGGGCTAAGTATTAGTCCCGTAAGAGCAAAGATTGGTTTTGCTCTGCAGAGAGAGCAGCAGAAGGCCCAGCACTTCTACTGATGGTAAGACTACACAGTCCTCCTCAGAAGCCCTTCTAGCTCAATGGCTTCAGTATTTTTCAGACCAGAGACTGCTCTTAAAGGTGAGGGGAACAGGATGACACTGGGGAGTTTCAAGGAAAGAAGCAAAATATATATGTCTACGTACTTTTTATATACATACACATGCACATATATACATGCACGTACACATAAATTAATTAGTACGGTCAAGAAACTTGTATGGCCTAAGTCCTTTCTCCAGATACGCACACATATATTTGCCAATTAAATCACTAGGAGTCACATGCATTTATTTGATGACAAAGATTAACCTTGCAATCCATTTCTATAATTGAAAGAGATGTTCAAAAGCAATGCCTTTAAAAGCTTGTCTTCTTAAAGGAATGGGACTTAGAGAGAGATCATATTTAAGGTGGATCCTGTCCCCTAGTGACAACTTTGCGTGCCCTTGTGTTTGGTTGAAGTTAACAGTGCGTTTGCACCCCTGAAAGAAATGAAATTCTACAAATTTTGCAAAAACTGGGAACAGTCTGATTAGTGTCTTCAGGAGGTAAAGGTGGGCATGGCTTAGCACCATGAATGCTGTTTAGCAATAAGCTGGTGTTCAGCCAGCCAGAGAACACACAAGCCTGAAGAAGACACCACACCACTAAGTGCAAGGTGTGGAGAACGTCAAGAGAAAGGGGCAGCAAAGCTCAAGTCTGCAGAAAACAGACTGAGCAGTTCTGTTTCTCAGAAAAACGTTTCTGATAAAAATAAACTCAGGCAGTATGCCTAGAAGTGTTTTCCCTTTCTAGAAGAAAACCTACACCTCCTCGTAGAAGCCCTCACAAGTTAATACAGTGGCAAGGGTCACAGATAGAAGAACAGAAGAAACAGAAGAGCCAGGACACACACTCACCGCACTTGGGTACTGAAATTCAAACTTCACAAATGCATCCAAATCTCTTGGTGATACACCTAAATGAGAAAACAACCAGCCAATACAGATATTTTCATTGCATCTGTAACGTTGAGCAGGATTTTCAAGGGCACCTAACTGATTTTCAGTAGGACTCATGACCGGTCTTGACAACTGCAAAACCCACCCATCAAACCAAAATCCACAGAAAGCTGGCATCCAAAAGGAAACATCTACTTTTCTTAATGCTGCTGTTAGTCTGGAGACAGTCTAGCACAGATGGTTTATAGCCCCCAGGAACAAGGGACTAAAGGCAACAGCGTTGGCAGGATCAACTCCTGTCTACTGAAGGGTCAATACACATCAAGGTGGTGCAGAGTTAAGGCAGGCACTCGTAACAAAATGGGAGATAAACATGAAACTTAAACTATGACCCAACTACGAGTGAACCCAGGATAATCTAAAGTTCTTTGGTCTGCCCAGATGGAATCAAGATTCTCTTTTATTTTTTTGTTTGTTTTTTTTTTAACGTTTAAAGGTTCTTTGAGGGCTTGAGCCTGAAACGTGGTTATTTTGTTCTAATGAGTGCTGGCTACAAAGATCTTGACTTCTGAAGCGGTCTTCAAGGTAGAAAAAAAATCTCATTCCCTGCAACTTTCCATACCTATTCAGAGGAAAAAAACCCACATGCCCTTTTGAGTACGTACCTGGTGGAGCTGGTAGGTTTATACCCCTGACGATAAGAAGGTGCATTTCTGTGCTGTTGAGCTCAGAAAATATCCTGTGAAAAAATAAAGACAAAAACATGTATTCATCCCCGTAATCCACCACCACCCAATCCACTGCCAGACCAGGATGCACTGGTATTTGTCAGACTTTTTTCTATAGTGCATCTTCATAAATTACTACAGAGCAAGGAAAGAGCACAAACCAAAATAAAAACTCTCAGGTATAGCAAAAAATGCCATGAACAAAGCCCAAAGGCAACAGGATTGAGGGAGAAATACAGAGGAAGGAAGAGTGGCTGAAGTAGCAGAAGAGATGAAGCTGGAAATATTTTGAAAACAAAAGGACCCAAAAGATAAGTCAGAGAAAAACTTCTTCATATTTAAGTTGTTGAGAATGTCCTTGCAAAATTCTGAGCCTAACCCTACGTGCCATCCAAGTTTGCTGAAGCCCGCAATTCCCTAAACAAGAGCTAAAAACCCAAAAACTCATTCCAGCCTGCCTGAGAAATCCCTTTGTTTTTCCACACCTTATCATTTTAAAGGTTCTTTCCTCAAAGTGATGGCTTGGAGGATCCATTCCTTGTGCTCGTGCAAGCTGTAGGATGTCCATGTCCTTTTTACAACCTTGCGCCAGTTTCTCAAACCTACAGAAAAGGCAAATGAACAACAGAAAGGCTACACACCCCCGGAACATCAAAGGGAGCATTCCGCCAGATGCAGGCCACAGAGCAAGTCTCAGACTAGAGGTCTGAGAGCACCTCAGAGATGCAGGGTTCACCATTACTGACACTTTCACATAACAAGCAGCTTACCGACCTGAACCCCGGTCATCTTTAGAGGGGTCAGGCAGACTCGAGCCTGAAATGGTTACATTTGGGATGATTAACAGTGGGCAGCATGTCTTACCGAGTCGTTTCTGCCACATTGCCCAGATGCATGAATTGCTTGGAATACTGCAAACATCTCTGCCAACAGAAACAAGCCAAACAAACGCAGATGAACTCAGTGATCCTTACACACAGATTCATGACTGGCAGAGAGTTATGAGGTTGATGACAAACTAATTTAAGAAAAGCATGCCAAGAGGTTTCCCAAGTCACCTAAAAACATCCACTCCCCCTACTCCTTTAAGTCCAAAGCTAAGCACAGCATTTGTTTGAGCTGTTCTGCCCTATTACTTTTTAATCACTTAATTTCTAGATATGAGGTTCACCCAAGGGCTAGTCTTAATCATTGGGGCACTATTTTCAAACTTGAGTGATCATATTTAATAGTGATAATTTGATGGTCCCAAGCGTCCAAGCACGCTCTCAAACTTCAACTAGTAGGGAATCCAACCCTGAAAATTCCACTTTAGTAAACACAAAATCAAAAGTATTTTTAAAAGAAAAACAAAAGATCCCACAGAAACAATGATGAGATTATGAGGGTTATGAGGCACTGGAACAGGTTGTCCAGAAAAGTTGTGGATGCCCCATCCCTGGAAGTGTTCAAAGTCACGTTGGATGAGGCTTTGAGCAACCTGATCTAGGAGAAGGTGTCTCTGCCCATGGCAGGGGGGTTGGAACTAGATGATCTCAAAGGCCCCTTCCAACCCAAACTGTTCTATGATTATAATATTAATAAAACCCAGAGAAATGTAAAAAAAAAAAAACAAAACCAGAACACTTCTAAAAAAAGATAAAACAGTCACCTCATGCTGGTCCTTCAGCAATTTTATGAGCTGTGCATATACTTCATCTGCTTTCTGAGACAGTCTGACATCTTCATGGTGTATGAAGATAAAATCACCCTCATCATCTGTAGGGGGTGATGGCAGCTGCAACACAAAACCACCACATTTCAGAGCCTTTATAGGAAAAAATAAAGATCAAAAGCAGTCAGAATGTATGGAAAGGTCAGTAAAGGGAGATGGGTTGTTTTTCTTCTCAAAGTAATTCCAAACCAACCACTGCTTACACCATTGCCCAACAACTGCTTAAGTCATAAAGCCCTGCAAAATGTCTTACCAGCCGAGTTCCCTGATTATTCAGGTCAGGAGAGCTACTACAGCACAGTTTGGTTTCCCCAGCTACCCAAATGCCAATAGAAAACAGGGCACCACTGTATCACATGCACCTGATCCTCATCCCAAAATGGAGTCAGGACACAGCTAAGAGATGTAGTCACATCCTAAGCCCAGGGAACGTTTTCAAGCTGCGTGCTTTAGGTGTGCTATTGCGTATCAGGGAGCAAACGGCTCATGGAGACTGGATTTTCTGAAAATCTGGCACATTGGAGTAGCAGCAGAGGAAACAACATGAAACAAAAAGAGGGGAATTTCAGGGCTCAGCATCCAGATTTGTCACTTGAGCAAACTAACTTAACATTTGTGTCAAAAAATATTTATTAAATCATTCACTGTTTGAGGTAAGCACTTAGATATCCAAGGATATGTAACAAAGCAGAATACTAACAGTTCTACTAACCTTGGAAATATCAACGGGTTTGCCACATTTTGCTTGCTCAATCTTTGGGTCAAAGCTCTTAGCTGTTCTGAGATACATCTTAGCCTGTTCAAGGTTATTTTCCTTCTTTGCTTTGATGGCTGCCTTCATGTATTGCTTCTTTCTGTTCTCCAGAAATTCCAGCTGTTCCCTAGCTGAAAAACAGTTGTAGAAAAATCTGTCACTCATCTGACACTGCCATGCCCCTGAAACAGGTTTATCATGTTCAGTTTATAGCCAGAAAAAGGTCAGTAAAGTACAATATCAAATAAGGACATTTCCTTACTGCATTTTAATTGTTTCTTGGCCGGTTTCAATTTCAAGTACCAGAAAAAGAAACAAAATTCTGTCTATCATGGCATCCTTCATCAAAAAAAAAACTTATAGCACTTCACAGGTGTCACAATAGTAATTACAGCCTCTTATTTGCAGGCAGGAGATAGATTCCAGTACAGCCAATAGGTCCAAAGCAGAAGCTGAATTCAAACTTTCAGCTTGACATCTTAACTTCTACAAGAGAGCGAATATTATGAGCATCTTCTGTACTCATTTCTTTCCTCTGCCCTGATCTGTCAGGGAAAAACCCAGATGAACCAATGTGTGCAGGCACAATGAGGCATATCCACATCCACCTTTGCTTACTGGTAATTCCTTGACATCTTAGTTTCTTATTAATTCTTGGGTCTCCTCTTTCCTTCCCAAAATAGCAAGGACAACCACCCAAGTTGGAAAAGATTGCTTTACAATGTAACATGTCAGTCATCCTGCCTCTTCTTATACCTCACTTAAGAAATGGCATGGCACGAGCTGACTACAGCCACTTCCAAAGATACTCCTATTGTATTCACCATCACTCTCTACTTGTGATTACACAAGTTGAACAACTCCTGCAAGAGATGCATGTCTCAGCAAATAAACATACCAATGACCCTCACACTATGTTCACTGCTGTCAGATGACGATCAACTTATTCCCATCCTTGCTAAAGAATCTGCTGTCCTGCTGCTGCAAGCAATCTGCCCAATCAGCCAAAACTTAACTAATTAGACAAGGTAGCTGGCCCAGATTCCACAGAGACAAAACCTACAGTGTGCTCTGTGAGGCTGAGACACAGAGTACAGGTATTTTCAAAGAAAATCTGTGGAGAATGGACTGAGAAAAGCCATTAATCCAACTGACCTTGGATCCTTGACCTTCTTGGTATAGGCCTTAAATGCAACCGCTCCACTCCACTCCTACAACTCCCTATGCTTTGCGTTCCCAAACAAGAAAAAAGACAGTTTTTTACAGTTGATTTATCAGCTACAGGCAGCTGTAAGCTGCACTTTGTAATTCCAGGAGACAATAAGGTTACATTTGCATCACAGAATGCATTTTCGCTACTGAAATAGAGTCTTTACAATAGCGAAGTGCTGACATTTTGTTGTGAAAAAAATCAAGAATCTGTCCAGGTTCTTGTTGCACCTATTGGTCTTATTTTAAAACACTTGAAATACCCAGAAGAGATTACTGTAACACCAGAGACCAGGTATTATCAATTCCTTCACAGCATAAGTCTAGAGCAATTCACTTAGAACATTAACATGTCAGCTAAAAATCACAAAAAACAATCTCCTGAGGATTCATAGATTTTCAAAGCCAAAATGGACAGCTCCTACGTTTTAGTGGTCTTTACTAAACGAGTCATGGTTCTAGAGAGAAGAGTTACGAGCTAATCACAGCGGCACTGTGAAATGCCTTTGCACTCTAAAAGAACTCACATCAGCCAAAACTAGGCAGCTCTGCTCTGCGGGAACCAACCAGGGCAGAATGGGGGAAGAATGATGGGATTATAGTCAAGGCATGACAACAGAATCAGTGAGAGCCTGAACACTGCTGTCCCTTACTAGCTGTACAGACAACTGTTTGGAGACCTTAGCAACAGTAGGACTAGAGATGGATGAACTACCACCTATATGCCAGTTTGAGATCCTTGGATGAAGCACTAGGCAGAAACCACTGTTTGATGTAGGAAGCTGCATTAGATCAATGGATAATTCACAATGGCAAGCTGTTCACTTTAATGGGAGTATATGTAGAGTTCAACCGTGAGCAGAGTTAAACATTATGAATCGATACACTTGTTACACCAAAATTAATTAAAAACCCAATCGCCCTTTTAATTACATATGCTGCTTCTATGAAATAAAGCTGCATGGCTGGTCTGGATCTGCCCTCCAGCAGACACATATATTGAGGCTCCTGTCAGAGGAAATCTATGCCACACATTCAGAGGCTCATATCTAAAATATAATGACAAGAAGTCTTTACCAAGGTATTAAACTAAACTAGTGCAAACTCCTTGCACATGGATCACTTGGAATGATGATCCCTTCACTTTACCAGCTGGAGGGAGATGATCCATTGCCTCTGCCTTATCCAGGGTGGAAGGTGATGTAGCTAGTTTCACATTCTCAGGAGAGCTCTCCTCCTCAGCTACAGCAGATGGAACTGTAATTGGCTTAACAACTTGAGTCGGCTTTCCAGGCAGCTGAGCAGGCTTCTTGGCAACTGGGGCCTGTGTCAGAGCTTCATTCTAGCATAACAAAAAGAATTTCATATTAAATGTGTAAAATCTATTCCAGAGTTGATGACAGCATCTCAAGCATCAAAAACCACGGTCATCACTGTATCAGCCTTCTGGTATAACTTTTGAGGGGAACATAACATTCCAGATAGCAAATTTTAACTTCTGGAGGTTTATGAGCCATGTCACACCACTAGTTAGTTGACCTATGCAAGCATTAAACCTTCACTATAGAAGGGACAAAAGGAATGTTCAAAAAAGCAATGATTTCAAAAAAAGCAGATGCATACAGAAGGACCATCATCCAGCATTTTTCTCCATTAAAAGCTACTCCAGTTGAAAGCACAAACCATCAGCAACCAAATCCAAAGCGATAAAGAAATCAAACCAAAGTCTAAAGGGTGGTGCTGCCTGACGAAAAGCAGTAAGTGTTGAACATCCTGGGAAAGCACAAACATAGAAGCTATTGGGATGCAGGATGAAAGTACAGATTTAAGTACTTTAGAGCAATGTAAAGGGGTGGCCAGGATCTGAAGTGTTTTCTTTGAAAATAAAACTCACATACAAGACAGTTATGAAAAAGCCAAACTCTGGACTCATAGACTCTGTAGGTACTGATGTAATAACGTCTCATCTCCCTCTCTCCTATACTACAATGCAAACTGAAATTACTACTGAGATCCTGTACTCTTCAGACTTCTCGGAAATGTATTTCATCTCAGTATCCTTGCTTGACTGCAAATCCAATGGCCTCATCTCTGCACGCCACAAGAGACAACATTTTAACTTTCAAACATTCTACTAAGAAATACTAACCTCCTCCTCTTCATCATTCTCTTCCATGTGTGCCAGCTTGCTGGCACTTTCCAGAACAGCAGCTATTGTGTTGCCACCATCCACTGCTGCAACACCAGGAAGAGGGGGAAATCCTGAGGAGGAAAGGAATACAGAAGTAAAGAACTGCATAAGACCTATGTTCTGTCTTCCATATTTCTTCTTTTCCATAAAGCTATTTCTATCCAAATATTCATTATCTAATACATTTCAGAATTCAGCATAACTAGACTGAGGCCAAGGCCACAAAGCCTTGCCAGATAAATTCTGAGTAGTGGCCTTAAGATCAGAGCTCTCACAGATATCCAGGCTTAAAGGGACGATGTTAAAATGCCACAATAACAGAGCATAGTTTTCTAAGTTGAGCAACTGGCAGTCAGCCAAGGAATCTCACAACCCCAAGACTTTGGTAATAAAGATGCCCCCAGAACCAAAAAAGAATTTAGCCTCTCTCCTTTGCACAAGAGGACAGCGGATTAGTTGCTGGCTCTCTTTTTCCCCTCTCAATGCTGCCTCACCTTAGTTGGTACACAGTCCAGCAGAAAATGAGTGCTACCCCACAGAGTAATAAGCAATGCATCGCTGACATCTGGACAACACACCAAACCTCTCCTGAAAATCTACTGCAATGCAGAGGTTGTGAAGTGAGGCAGAATCACAGTAGTTAAATGTGAAGTATATGAAGAGCAGTGCTTTTCATTATTTTATTATCCTTTTAAGGATGGGAGGAAGGCTTACGATGGAAGATAAACTCTCCCTTCCACGCTACCAGTTCAGTGTCAGCTTCGAACAACAGAGACCCAGAGCTATTATTACAAAATGTCTGGTAATAAGATTTATCTCATTAATATGTAGCAAGTATTCTTGTCGCCAGTCTCACTAGAAGTGCCAAGAAATAATGACTAAACTGCTTCTAAACCTAGAGATGCTGCTACAGGGACAGAGCACATTTGAGGTACACAGGCAGGCAGAACACAGAATCCTATGCTGCTGCCCTCATATGACATTTGATCTATTACTCGGGAGAATTTTTGTCTCCAAGGAGGTCAAGGCTGGTACTTGTCATCATCCAGATGCAAGGAAACGCACTGCCGGTCTGTTATAACCTCATTACTGCTTTCAGTGACTGCCTGATGGTTGTCTTCAATGTAAATCATATGGCCACTAATGATGGCTGAAAAACATTCAGCTAATGTGTAAGGAAACTGAGGAGTTATCCATCTTGTCCAAGGTGTAAATATGGAGTACCTCACTCTTACAGAAACTGGTATTTACCAAGAAATGGATCACATTCCAGAGCAAGCAATGCTAAACTGCTTTTCAGGGACAGCTTCAAAGCAGGGTACCGTCAAAAGTGGTACATGACCTGACAGAGCTGGCACCACCTACATTACTACTACTACTACAGTGCTTGCCACTGCCACATTTGACGGTGACAAAAAAGCCACAAGGTCTGTGTCCCTTTTCTAACTTAAAAAAATCCAGGCACCACTTTGCAGTGCTAACTAAGTGCTTTTCAGAAGAATGCACCAGGCACAAGATAAAAGGAATGATGCTTCCTAAGGGAGAAACAGTATCATGCAAACCAGAGGTAGAGCTTGCCCAAACTTTTACAGATGTGGCACTATGCATTCTGAAGAAGATAAAAAGGACACAATGTCTCAAGAAGCATGTTCAGTTTCTGCCTCTGTCACTGTCTGAGTGTGACCTCAGGCATGACTTGCTTCACCTCTGTAGACCACTTTTATTAGCCATGAGAGCTGCAATACTGATCTGACTTGTCAGGTGTTGCCACAAGATGATTAATTAAATAGAGAGTTCTAAGGCTCCTGCTGGGAATCAAGAAAATGGGTGACTTCAGGCAAATTTTTTCAGTTTCAAAAATCTCCTTCCAGTAAACTAAGAAGCCAATACATCCCAAGTTTACTCTTTCCTCTACAAGGACTAGCATACAGGACAGGTAAGTAACATTTTCAGCACCTGCACATGGTTAAGTTGTTTAACTTAACAGCAGCAGTTTTAAGTTCTGATGTCAATCAGGCAGTCAATAGTCAGGAATATTCACCAGTGTGAAAGTTTGGGGCATATTAATAAGCAGTTTCACAATACCATCAAACAGCACGGCCAGCCTACTCACTGAGGAAAAGGAGGAGCTGTTCCACAGGATGAGGTGGCAATATCTGCACATCTCCTTCAGAGCTCAGTAGATATACACAAGTTGTTTTTAGGAAATTTTATAGTCACACTTACCAGGAGGAACAGGTAGCTCAGAAAAATTTACTTTTCTCCCCGCACTATGGGCCCTTATGGCATCCTGGTATTGCTGTAATCAAAGGCAATCAGTAAGACATAAAAAGGAGTTGACCATAAATTAGCATTCATTTGTATTTAACCAGCATAAACATTGCAGAATATACAGTATTTTGCCATATGTACACTGTCTCTATTTCTGGACGTTCTTTCAAACAGAAGGACAATAAACGAATTGCTTCAGCCTTGAAAAAGTCTTCAGCAAGGGAACTAATTCAAATGGCTTTGCCGGATGCAAGCAGCTCACTACACTTTCGTTTTACCTTGGCTATCCTCTCATGCATTCTGCCTTTCCGATCATCCCCACTCGCTTTAGCCTGTGCTGCTGCTGACTTGTACTTCTCCAGCCTTTGCTGCAATGCTTCCAGCACTGTTTTCGGCTGCTGCAGGGAACCTTGAAATAAGACAGACAATGAAACGCCACATGATTCAGATTGCAAAACATAGGAGCTACGCTTTTCCTCCCCTTTCTTACCTTCTGCAGAGACAAAAACATCATATTATGAATGCAGTTCTCCTAAAGAAGAACTTCTAGCTCCATGACTGATCCGGAATAAAAGTACAGATGGGATCAGCAGCAAATGATATTCAGGAACATTAGCTAGGTTTACTCAATCCCACTGCAGTTCAGTGAGATAGGGCAGACCTTAAAGTGCCTTCCAGACATGCTATTTTTATGGCTTGCTAGAGAAATCCAAAAGTCTTACCTGGAGCTTCTTGAGTGTGAGGTTCAGATGTTGTAAGGTCCTGGGAACTTCCCACTGGAGCTGGTACCTTTTGCTTGGATGCATCGTGTACGTTTCCTACACTTTCAAGATCTGCAAAGCAAGGAAAGCAAGAAGTTTCACAGCATGTTCCATTAACAGCGAGTCAACCCATATTACTCAGAAAACAATCAGTTTGATCACATCATCTTCCTGAAAGCTTTTTGGCTTCAAAACAATATTTGTGTGGCTAGATAAGTCTAAGGTTCTCATTATTGAGAGAAAATGCTTTATAATAGAAAATCTCAAATGCTGATTTTATTTAGGTTAGTGCTGCTTGAGGGAAAAGTAAAAAAAAAAGTTAAACCAGTTCAAGTATTCTAAGAATTCTCTCCCTAAAATATAACTTGGTATCTTGGCAGATGGAAAGAGTGAACAAGACTGCTAATTGACTAAAATATCCTAGTAACAAAAGATGTGCTGAAAAAGGGAAGCAAGTAACACCATCTATTCAGACACCCAAGTTTCTGGCATTGTATAACAGTTATTTCAGAAAACTACAAAAATATCCGCTGCAAAAATCTTGCACTTTTTAAGGCAAGATTATATCATGGGTGAAGTTTCTCTCTAATGCCATTTGGTGATAAATTTATAACTTAAGGAGTCATAAATCTCATGATTTATTAAAACAAAATAATCTGTCATTTAGTTTCTTAGAATAAAATAGTCTACTAAAGTGAATTGTTTAAAACACCGAGTTGCATAGACCAAATATTAATTATTGGTGGTGATACTAGATCTATTTAAAAAAAACCCAACTGTCTTACAAGGATTGAAGTATCCTTAATATTGGTAACTTGCTTTAAAATGTAGACTTTACCGCACTGCAATTTGTTTGTTAATCTCTTAATCTGAATGTTATGAAGTTCAGTTGAAACATACACCACCATCAAATATCACAGTAACTTTTAAGAATGTGCCATTACCCTTCCAGTTCTTCTTTCCCTTCCAATTCAAATACTGGTTGCTATTATCTAAAGTTATGAAAACAGGAATATTAGACATCGATACTTACTTGAACTTGCAATTCAGACAGTAACTTCAATATAAATAATGATACCTCATTTTTCTTCGTTGTTCTTGATTACAGTTTGAATATGCAGTAAGCCTCAGACCTAAGTGATCTTCAACTCCTCTTATAGTTTTGCAATCAAACGCAGAATCATTCCATTATAGCATAGAGAGACTTCTAAAAAGGTTTTCGTAAGACGAGTCTTACCCTGAGGAGACGGAGGCATATTCTGGAGGTCTATCGGCTGCCCACTGTCCAAAGCTTCTAAGACCACATTAAATTTCTAATGCAGAAAAAACAAACCCCAGAAGATTTATTCTAGTATGTCCAAGATCTGCTAGCTGACACAATGAATATTTGACACTCAGTGCATATGGGTACAGCATAGGATATGTTTAGCATGCAGGACTTTTGTGTGCATACCTTGCCTGCCCTCATGTATTCCTTTGCTTTCTCCAGGTCCCCTTGCTGCTTGGCTTTTAGAGCTGCTAATTTATACTCCTTCTGCCTCATAAGTAGCATTGCTCGTGTGTTGCTGCTCTGGAGATCTGTGAGAATGAAACAATGCTGAGAGACTTACACAGAGCACACAAAACGTGCATCCCTTGCTATGTCCATCTATTCAAACCTACATTTGTCCTCTTTTGCTTTGAATCATACAGCCCTCTTACAAAAGCCCTTTTTCCTCCAGTCTCCAGAAGTCCTAACAGACACAATAATCTCACTTTTCCCAAGTGAAAAAAAAGAACAACAAACAACAAAGTCTTTCAGTCAGTATCTCAAAACTCTTTAATGCATGGAATTCCACATGTCACAATATTGGAGGAGAAACTGAGGCCTGGGAAAAGTTAAGCGAAAGACACTGATTCAGCATATAAGAGCTCTATAACAACTGATTCCACTGCCAGAAATTCAGCATCCCACTGATGACTCTATCTGAAACATTTAGCAGGGAATTTCTGACATAAGCAGTGCTTTGCTATGCAACAGAAACATCAAGAAAGATGTAACATGAAAATAGTGTTGCAACTGCGTATCCTCTCAGATCATGGTACCTGTTTCCACGGCAGGACTAGAAGCAGCATGACCCTGCAGAGACTCTGATTCCAGATGCTGCACTGCCTCATCATTTGCACCAGACTCAGCTTTATTCTCTGGCAGGACATCGACTAAATCTCCTGAATTCTCTAGCTCAACTCCCGTGGCTTGAGATAAGTGAGAAGAACTCTTTCCTGTTGCAACAGGAGGTGGCATTTCTTCCTCACTGATTTTTTTGCCTTTCTTCACTGCACCCAGCATGGTTTCCAGTGTCTGGCAGAGATGGAACAGCAAAGTCAATAGGCATTTTCATCAAACATACTACTAGCATAAAATCATTAAAACACAAATTCATTCCCTTAAATGTGATGGAATCTATTACACACACCACTACAGATTGCTGCCCTTTAGCTCCCTATTTTTCTGCAACGCTAACTTCAGCGCTAGTGAAAGGTGTCCAATTATCAGAGAAACACAATGCAAAGCACTTGTTACCAAACTACGTAACTACAAATACCTCAACACCTGGAATTATTGGATAGCTGATATGGTCCACTCAGCTTTGTCACAGAAAGTCACCAAGGAAGCCATTTATACCCACTGTAGATGGATTTTATGTCTTTAAAACAAAATAAAATACACTACTCAAATGTGGATTCAGGGAAGGAAGGAGCCGGCATATCTATTTAATGCAAGGAGAAAAGCCACTAAATACTAACAAAGGAAACAGAGCTTCAGCTGGTGAACTATGGCAAGAAGCACTCACCATCTGTAACATGGGTTAACTGCTGCTCATTTGTTTAAAACTCTTCCTCCACCACAAATATTACATTCCTCAGTATTTTTATTTTAATTTAAGATTCAGACAAAAGATCACCATGCACTTTAAGCAAAAAAAAAAAAAGTTTTACTTCTTTCATCTTCCACAGAAGAAAGGGAAAGCACAACAAAACCAAAACAACAACAAAACAAAATCTCATCAGTGTCAGAATAGCTGCTATTTTTGGTTAGCCATGACATTGTTTGACCTATTAAGCAACAGTGGCAGAGATACTTTGGACTGATTGCATGTGAGATTGAGGATCAGACCAGTACAGCAACCCACACGCAGCTCTCTCTTCTCCACGTGTGGGATGACAGATTGACTGGAACTGGAATTAAATGCTGAGATTAAAGGTCACAGTTCCAGGAACTACGTACAAGAGACAACTTGCCGTTTGTTGGCATGTCATTTTGCTAATTAAAGAACTGTGAGCTGTGAAGTGAGATCTAGTCTATTATCCTTAGTTACACCGCTTAGGCACAGGGAAACTCCCTATCTTGAAAAATAAAGGAAGTGGCAAGCAGCACACTAAGCTTCGTCATTGGGTGAAATAAACCGGTTTGCCCATCCCTCTTGCTCTTTGAAAGGTCAGGTGGTTCACGTACATTCCTTTCAGAGCTAGCAGGCAGTGGACACATACAGACATTTCCTTTCTTGTGCATCTCCTCCCCTGGGTTTGGCCTCGGTTGTTCCCTTTGTACCCTGAGACACTTGGCAGCTATGGACACGTTACATTTTTCCCCCTGTGGACAGTGCCGAGCTATAAAGCTTTGGTCAATGAGACAGAGCTGGCTGCTGGCAGAGGTGAGGCAAGAAAGCAGACAGGGAAATGAAGGCACTGCACAGCGGTAACCACCAAGCACTACCAACTCCAAGCACGCCACCTGGCTGAAAAGAAGCAAAGCTGAAGAAAACGCTCCTTGCTGCAATTTTTAATTGCCTTAATGAAAAATACTCTTCTATACATTTTCAAGCACAGTCAACACACTCTGGAAAAGCGTCACCTTCCTTTGTCTCACAGAACTGAGGGGAAGGTTAGTACTTAAGGGAAGGCATCCGTGATGAACTGGAAGGTATACATGCTAGGAAAGCTCCTAAACTTTGCTTTAAGGTAACCCTGAGCAGTCATCACAGTTCAAATTCAGACCTAGACGGGTGGGTTTAACACCAGCGTTTACCACAAACGCTGGTAACACAAACATCTGAAGTTACACTTTATCTGTGCGTTTGTTACATCAGATCAGTAATAAGTAACAAGAAATGTTTTTAAAGTAACTCAAGGCAGCACGTTAGAATTTCTCTCCAACAAATTCACACATCTGGAAAGACTCTCAACTACACTGCAGAGAACTGACTTCGCCTCCCCCTCATTCACATACCTGATGAACACAACTTACCTTAAGGCCTCTTTCGTATCGGCGTATCTTGGCACTCTCTCCTGACTCCCTCGCGTTAGAAATTGCTGTCCTATAGTTAGCAATTCTCTTCTCTATTGTCTGTTGCAGCTCACTGGTGACAGCAGGAAGTGAGGTGGTCTCAGAAAAAATAATAAAACGAATCAAGAAAACTTACTTCATCCAACTATACGAATTTTCCCACAGCACTGAAAAACAAACACTCCTCCTTCTACACACGCTCCCGCTAATCGAGAGCGCAAGCACGGAACAGTCTCTCAAACAGAGGAGCACTTGTACCACGCTAACGGTCCCTGGATCCACCTCTGGGCTTGCTCTCAAAGGCGTAATAGAGAAGAATGGGTGGAGACATTTAGAAAACTCACAGTCACAGGGTAATTGGAGCCATGTGGTTAGGGAGTAGGTGAAGAGAACAGTAAAGTCTCTCAAACACCACACAACAGAGGGTGTGAAGAGGTATTTTGGCACAATTCTTGACTTTTTCTTTTCTTATTTTTAAAACACACTAGTTTACTCCCTTCTGGGCTTCTTCAGCCTGGTTTTACTACAAGAGCTCTTTTTCCTCCTCCTCCAGCCTGGAATTAGTTCTCTCACAAAAGCAGCCTAAGCAAAGTTATGAGTAGCTACTTAGACACACTCGACAGCTACAGAGACCTTTCAGATGGCTACTGATGTAATTATTGCCATTATCTCTATAGAAACACTCTTGGACCCATCTGTTAATGGGCCCAATGCACAAGGGCACTGGAATCTGTAGCACACAGCAGAAACATGGCAGCAATAGAATAAAGGATTCGACTGCATGAGGATTGACAAATTAAGCTCAGAAAGCTAATGCTGTTCAGAAAAAGTCCGCAAAGATGCTCAATGCTCTGAGGGAGAAGGTATGAACCCTGGAAGCCTGAACTGCAGTCTGCATGATCACATGTATAATGAGGGACAAGATATGCTTGATTCCAACCAGTTATCTCCTTAATTCTATGCTAACATTAAAAATCATCCTCTGAACAAAGCAAAAAATTCAACTGTATCAATACAGCATTGGTTTCCACAGAGAAGACAGCAATAGTGCAGTTTTTCCTTCCCTGGAGGACAAGACAACCTCTCTCTAGATCCTTGTTTGTGACCCTCATATAAGCTGCATGACAACAGTGATTCAGCAAAACTGTCACAAACACGAAGCTCTTTCCTACCTGTGGTTGCAGTTCAGGTTCCTCATTTTCTGTTTCAGCTGTGGATGGCTCCAGGGCTATCTTTTCATCCTCACAGCTTCCTGTCTCACGTTCTTCCCCTAGAACTTCTTGCAATTCTGCCTAAAGTAAAAAAACAACAAAAGGCTTTTCTTCAAAGTTTCCTATTTCCTCAAAAGACAAAATAAAATTGTCTCAAGCTCCAAAACCTTTGGATAGACCTTGAACCCAAACAGAGATAAATAGCTTATATTCTGATAATTTATTTTATTTTATTTTTTATTTTAAAATGAAACTGGTTCCAAATCTATTCCCAACAGGAAGCCAGATACCCCTCAAAAGCCACACTGCAACTCCAGGATCACCACACAAGTTTGTGGCTAGAGATCTGAAGCTGGAGAAGTTCAGAGAGGTACTTTTATAAAGATCATTCAAACCCAAATTTGGAATTTCCAAAAAGCATCTATTAAAAATGGCAGTCAAAAACACTGCTTAACACTCCTTCTGTAAGCTCTGCCAACTAGATCATTCACTGAAATGAGAAAGAATTTCTTGGGAGATATTCTCTCAGGTCAAGCACTACTCGAAACAGTAGCAAAATGGTGACAGACATCACTTCAAGGAGAATGTCCCTGGCTGTATTTCACTAGCTGACATGGAATGGGATTCCT